TAAACAGAGCCAATTTGTAGTTTTGCTATTTTTGGACAGGTTGAGGCCAAGTTAAATAATTTTGCAACCAACCTGGATTGAAATAGAGCAAGCAGCAATACATATCAAGAGAGCATTTTACTAACTGAATTGTTTATCGATAGATATCTCTATAAACATCCAGTTTCTGGTTCTGTCGAGCCAGTTAAAAAAGGGTGTTTTCAGTGTCATCAGCATGTCACTGAGGTCACTTTCTGCGCATTGCATGTTCCAAAGAAAGTGACATCAATGGTGCTTCTTGCACATAGGGAGCGACATCAGTCGTAACCTGATATCACAGAAGTTGGCCTTTTTTTGCAGTTAGTTTCAATGCTAGTCTGTGAGAGTTGCACTGCAAATACAGCTTAAGCACAAGCTTCAGTGGTACTCAAGTACCACTGATTATATAGACATTCTGCCTTTCCTACTCCACAGTGATGCCATAGGGCAGTAAAACCGTATTGCCTGCTTGCCTACTGTTGAAAATGCTGCTGTTGTTGCTGCAATGCGTGGTAATACAAATCTATTGAATCTTTTTAGTTTTTAAGCACTTTCCTGGTTTAGACTTTACTACTCTCAACCAAATACTGCCAGGACATGAGTTCCTGACATCTCAATATTTGCTTCTGTGCACTTTCAGTTATGGTTTGTGTACTATCAAATATTTTTAAAAATGCATAACCTGATTAAATGTAAATGAAGGGGGATGGAGGGCAGGAATAGGAGAGTGGCCGAATGCGCGGTCGAAGAAGGGGTTCTTGAGATTTGCTTTGAAGGAGGCAAGGGAAGGAGCAAGATGGAGGGACTGGGGAATGAAGTGTACATCCATGGATGCTGATTCTGCTAGTGTCTGAGGTGGGGAGTTGCTGACAGGAGCCATTCAGGAGGAGGGCCTTGGGTTTGTTGACAACTAGTTAAATATCTATTGCTACAAGTACAGATACTTACTAAAGTAACTAGGAACTACAGTTGTCCTTTGGACTAATTGAGACCCAAAGAGTTTTAAAATGAGAAGTTGAATTATTATTATTAAATTTTCTCATCAATTTTAGTATTCAGTGTGAGGGACAGGTTTGAGAATCCAATGCAGTATGTTAAATACTTAATAATTGTAAGTGATTTTTAAAGTATCAAAATATTTTACACATTAAATTCCTTTCCTAATATTCTACTGTTCTGTAATTCTGTAATGTATTTATATAAACTTTTGAATTTGCTAAGCTCATTTCCCTTCAATGTTTTAACCAGCATTTTTGTACTCTGAAGGTAAAATGACTCATATTTTTGTATACGGCACCATTAAGAAGGGTCAACCTAACCATCATTGCATAACTAGTGCAATCAATGGGAAAGCAGTGTATTATGGCAAGGGCGTTACAGACGAAAAGTATCCTCTGGTAATCGCAAGCAAATACAACATCCCATATTTGCTCAACATTCCAGGATCAGGCCAAAATATTGCCGGAGAAATCTATACAGTTGATGACAAGCTACTCCAGTTCCTTGATGAATTTGAAGGCTGTCCAGACCACTACCAGCGCATTCCTACAAGCATCCGGATACAGGAGTGCGCACAGGAAAATACATTAAGCAGCAAGACAGAAAACACCATCCTGAAATGCTTTATGTACAGTAAATCTTCCTATCAGCAAGAATGGCTAAATCTGCCTTTTCACAACAATTATGACGCTTTTGGGTCACATGGGCTGAAATATGTTAACTGTGAATCTAGATAATTAAACTGCCCACTTCCTTTTGAGTTTGCTCATTTGTCACAATTATTAATGATTAATAATTATGATTGATAATTATTAAAAATCCAATTGTTGGGTAACCTCTTGATTAAAAAATTCAAATGAACTTTTGGTGAAACAGTGGGGCTGATCATTGATAATAATAATCCTTGCATTTGATCTATCGCTTTGTTGAGACATCTCAAAACACTACAGGAAACACTAAAGTGGAGTGATTGTATTTTGTGGGTGAAATGCAGCAGCCAGTTTATGATGTCAGTCTCAGATTCTAATCAAATAAACCATTTATAAGTTTTGATTGTAGCACTTTTGTGGATTTGCTTTATTCAGAACATGACAAGATGTAGAAAAGCTGGTTGTGTTTTTCTTCTTGTTTAAACAACATTGTTCAAGTCAACCACAGCAGTATTACAAAATATTCATACGCATTATAAACTATCCGTCGTTTCTCCCAGTCAGACACATACTGATATTTGTGTAAAAAAAAAGCTTACTAGTCATTTGGAAAAACCTCAAAATGTCTGTCTGATTTGTGATACTCAACCACAATGACCAAGTGCCACAACTGTTATGCTTGTCTACAGTTTAGGAACAAAAACTGAGGGTGAATTTACATTTACACATCAGAGTTAGCCACTCTGTATAAATGTGTATTCATTTTTCTACCAAACAAAAGTTGCTTTATGTAGAATGTTACAGTCTTTATATAATCGAGAATAAATACTATTGAAGAATGCCTACTGGAGTTTCAGATCAAAGAGCTATAATCAAAAATAAAGGGCATGATGTGAAATAAGGCATCTAAAAATACTCTTGTCCAGAATGCGCTTTATTCAAGCTCAATGAGTAAATCTCCTTCACCAACTGTCTGGCCAGGGCTGCATTCCACCTTTTTTACCTACAACAATAACAAAACGTAAGTCTTTACTATAATATATTATTACATTCGAAGGATGTGGTCAACACTCATTTTATGTTCATTAGATTCCATTATAATCTTTCCATAATATTTTCTGTTTAACTGTCAATTTAAGGTAAAAGTCACATTTATATTATTGTCTTAATTTAGGAGCAATGACGATTTTAAGATGGGCAACCAAAGAGAATGTTGAAATATTAAGAAATGCACATTTGCTTCAGGTACAGGAAAACACAGCTGTGTGCCAACAAAGTAAAATAAATTGCAATTCATTTCAACATTAGCAATATATATTTTTTGAAAGTATGACAAATTAGTGATATGCTATGACAAGAATTTGTTAAAGTGTAAAGTGTCAAAAGATTCATGTTTAAAGTAACTCATTAAAGTGAGGATAATTCCTCCCTTCATTTGTAGAAATTCATATTTCCAGCCTTCTTAATGAAAATGTAACTAAACAGGTGTACCTTTCCAGTTTTTGCTGCAGTCAGGCTGTTTTGCATCTTCATTGCTTCAATCACACAGATTTCCTGACCTTCTGAAACCTTTTAAGTTAAATAAAAACAAGCAATTTATTTTGAAAAGATTTACAGCAAAGCAGCTACTATTTTCAATCTTCGACGTGTCAAATATAGAAAATTATTTGAGTATAATGTAAGGCAAACAAGAGAAAATCATTAGACAAAATAAACAGAATTATCAACTAATGTTTCAAGAAAGTAAGTTAAATCAAACCTCCCTAACGTAACTAATGTAAGGCAGCCTAAGGGACACAACACTTCAACTGCAGTGTCCCTTAGCAAGATAAAGAAACATCATCCAGGATTTCTATTGTTGATTGCAATCTGGTAAGTGCCCATGTGTGAATGATGGATAAGGACAGGATCAGGTACAGCTGTGATGTCCTCTATTATAACTAAATAACCTTCCAACATCAGTTACCTAAGTTTGCATTTAAACAATATACACATCAAGGCACCAAAAGCTGCCGACACCCACTGATCTGTACTTTAAGCATACATCAATCAGTCTTTTCAGGAGAGGAGAACCAAAATCAGGCAACATAAGAAGTGCAATCAGAAACTGAGCAATCCCCCAATGGCCCAGTGCAGTAAAGGATTAAAATATAAAGACCAAAGGGTTGTAAATTATATTCCCAGTCTGTGCACAACTGGTCCAATAACAGTGGACTTGGTAGTCAGTAACCCTCCTGGAAAGTGCACTTGTCAGGATTGGCTCAGCTGTGATGGCCTTCACAGCAGAATAGTTTGCCAGCACTCACTACCTAAGTTCACACTTGGGGGTAAGGCTGCCATTGGAGCAATGTACGAACGGATTCTGTGTATGGGGAGGGGAAGAGGAGAAAAGAATAGAATTGGCAAAATAAGTTGTTTTTAAAACCCACATGATATTAATTCATTCTCACATCTCCAATATTATTCAACCTTGGCCTCCTGCCATGCACAGATAGACAATGCCCTTCATTTACAAACATTTGCTCATTAGATCATTAACTGATTGCAAAACAGAACAGAAAATCACAATCCAACATAAGATGCCAGACAAGCTCTCTATAATCTTTTTTTTATTCACAGAACATGGGGAAGATTGGTTACATTTTTCAATGTTTGAATTACAATTTTTGCAATGTGTTACAGCCTGGACACAGGACTACAATTGTTGCAATACCCACTGACATTCAACAGTCCAGGTTAATCATGTCACCTAATTATGTTAATAGGGACCGTTAGGATCTGAATCTGGCCAATTAAATATTGTTATCTTCGACAGATACATTTTATATGCACATTTTATGAACTGAATCAAATATTAATTCATGGTCTATTTGTGGAATAGTCAAGAAACTCAGCTTGACTACAATTTACTGAAAAAATACACTATTCACAAAATTCAAGTTTGTATATATATCTAATAAAAAATGATAAGTTTATAAACAATAATTTGAAGTTTTTCACTTAAGTTTTTTTTAAATGCAAACTGATAAAAGGGCAATGGCAAAACATATAAGAGAGTAAAATAAACTAGGTTATAATTTCAACATTCTGGGGAGAAATTTTTTCTGGGTCTAGATTTACTCTAGAAAGCATTTAGAGCTTCCGGAATTTGGCAAATTCCCAATTATAGCATTAATTTTGAAAGCAGTTTCTTGTAAGCTTGTTCAAAAACTACAGAAAACTGAAATTCTATCCACTCATCTCTTATCAGGACTTCAATATTCAGAAATCAGTTTACTTAGAATCCCATGTGCACAATTTAGTTCAAGAAGATAAAGAGACGTTTGATGCAGTAATAGTGTTCTGGCTATAGGTGGCTTTAGTATACCTTGTAGCTATGGCATGATTTGATGTGGTATTAAGTGTGAATGTGACATCTAGTGGCAGAACAAAAATACAGAATTAATCATTATCTTGTCACACTGATTTGCTAATGTAAATGTGTAGTTGGTAAAATGTACACAGTGTGTTTAATAAGTCACAGTATATCAAGTGGAAAAATTACATAATTCATATTGGTGTTGTGCCTACTTCAGTCCCCCAACGGTTAAGAACTGGCAAAACACTTCCTTTTAGCCATTTCTGAAAGGAGGGGATTCTTTGTTTTCTCTCCTGGCAGGTTGCTCTCTTGCTGGGAGAGCAGAATGGTTTGGACTGCATACTCTTCACATCTGCTGTCAGTGGCTACTCTTCTATTTTCTGGAAGGGAACTCAATTTCAGCAGAATTAGCAGGAAGTGATCTATTTTCTTCCACTTATGTGCATCGCTCCATCTGGTGGCTTGGACAAACCTGACAAAAGTCACTTGAGGCATTTGGATTCAAGTGACCAGATGCCCTAGAGCTTGAACCCACCCCACCTTCTGCCAAGTTGCAAGTGCTACATAAGCACCTTTTCAATTTGTACCACCATTTGACTAAAAATTGGTCATTTAAAAAAAAACTGTGGTTAAAGCAGCCACCTGTCCCATAAAGCTCATTTGCTAAATGTGGAATTGTGATAGATTAACACTAGTTTCAGTGTGTGTGTGAAAAGAGACCAACAGCATTATGGAACGTATAATGAACAGTGTATCCCATATAGGACACAGGGTCATAGCTCACAAACAATTTCATAATTTAGCTGACGACTTAATGATTATGACAAGACGTCTTCAGTGTTATGCTTACAAAATGATCACAAGCCCTAGAAGTCTTTACAATAAACTCAATGGGCACTGATGTACTTCCCCTTTCTGCATCTAATTGATGGAAGTTTTGTGGATTTGAAACGCATATCTTTCATCCAGCTTAGAGCGTCCTCTCCTTTGACATGAGGTCAAGGTTCACATTCGCATCAGATTATCAAACTGGCACTCATTAGGCAGTGTTCTGCTCTGGACCAGAATGAGTTAGCTTGAAGGAAAACTCAGCCCATTTACTCCACAGATCTTGGCATTTTAGGAGGTTCGAATGTCACATAGTATTGCCACGTTTTGCAGAGTTTCAGACATCTCCGACTGATGATTAATTGTGAGTGATGGGAAATAAAATCCAGCAAAGCCAGCTGCTTGCCATGGTCTGCAAAATTACTATAATGGATATAAGCTGCCAATTTTCCAGGTTTACTGGCAAGTCTTCCCTGTGCAATTAAGGAAAGTTATAAATGATATGGAAATCTATCAAGGCCCATTTATTTTCAGAGTGGTTCCTCTCTGGAGACTTTCATCTTAAAACTTTAGGGGCAGCAGGATATGTAGATAAAATGATTTTAACTCTTTAGCTCATTTAAGCCTATTAGGACGCTTGCCTGGGGAAACAATGTAGTGACTGGATGACCCAATATCTTTCTAAAGTCCATCCTCTAAGACATTTACCAGATTTCCATGGAGGTGTTTTCAAGTGCCCTTTAATTATTCCCATCAATACATTCTCAGAGCTTCCTTTAAACAAAAAGTGCTGAAGCCACACTTGGGAAGACTGACAGCAGACAGACAGTATATTTGGCACAAACTAGCAAAAACGAATAGACAACACAATAATTAATTAAACACAGGTCAATGTTGAAAAGTGCACTGTATCAATGGTTTTCTTGGAAGTAAGGACAGGATTTCAGAGGGAAACATTTTGAACCATTTGGGGTGAATTTTTTTTTTAAAAAATAGGCTTTACACAGTTTTTCGTGCTCCTGAAATATTTTTGCTACTTTCTAAGGCATTATTTTTAGGAGAAACTGAAATTTCCTTCAAGGTACACAAGAAAAAGTTCTAAAAGCTAAGTACACAAAACATTATCATCAGTAGCAAAGGTGTGCCATGATTTTGGTATTGATCCTTTTCGACAGATGTGAAATAAGGATAATATATTTACTGGATGCGGCCTAAAGTAACAGCTGTGGTCTTCCCACATGGGGAAAAGGGCGCTATCGTGGGCTGTGTGCAGTTTCAAGCAGATGGAAAAATACATTAGAGTTCCCCAACAAGCATTTACTGTGTATCTGCTGAAGAAAATAAATTACAATCCAATGCAGTAACATAAAGTAGTGTAGTGCTTATAGTGTTTATGTAAAGCTCGGAATTATTTCTTAAATTGCCTTTCAACAAACTAAAAATAAACTCAAATAATTCTGTAATGCTGCTTTGCAGCTATTCCAGAATGGAGACAACTGCAAAGGAAACGGTGCCAGTGACATATGGCTTTCCATGGTGCTAAACATTCATACAAAAGACAGGTTCATCAGTCATTGTGTATCTGGATTAAAAAATTAGCGCCTGATGGATGGTATTTAGAGCTTACCTGCTGCTAGAACATTACCAAAGAAACACAGGTTTTGAAACCCACATGACTTTAGAAACTGCAGACCATGAAATACTTTGCTCATATCATGTATGCTGGGTTATGTAAAATAATAAATAAGCTTATGAAACCCTCAGCTAAAATTCATATGCCAGTGCAAGGAACTCTGGGTCAAATCTATACAGGCTAATTAATGCACAGCATCTGCTGTACACAGCAAAAAGCAAACACTTCAGAACAATTTCAATAGTTAAAATGGTTTCTATCGTTCTGACAGCATTATGTATCAATGAAGCAGAAAGCACAGAAACTTTCAGGATTTCAGAAGCACAAAGTCCTTCGGAGAATGCTTCATAATGTCAGACTTTCCTTTTGTTCTGCCCTGCGCTGCGTATTCTGCCAAAAGTGACAGAAGGCTCAAAGGAGGTCATGTAAGTCCACTGCAATATCACCGTCTGTTCTCAAGCAGCAAACAAAAACAAGGGGATCAATACAAACCTGCACTTTATCTCAAGAAGCTGATCCCTTCAACTGTTCTTGGATATTCCTTGGATCAGGCATACGATTAAGGTTTAAACCCACTGCAGTGTTCCCCTGGAAAGATGGTTAACCTTGACACTGGACAGATTTTTGCCAATGTTCAGTCTGATGCATCATTTAATTACTGCACTATTAACTTTAGCAAAACCTCTAAAATAAAGTGTTCATTTGAAATAACAGTTGCACTTTGCACTTAAAAGTTCAAAATTTTCAATTGAAGAGTTACCTCTTAGATATTTACTGCATAATTACTCGTTTAACACAAGTTTGTAAGGATTTCTGTGCCTGTATTTTTCCTGGTTCCTCAATAGATGTTGTTCCTTCGCCACTTCAAAACTGTCATGTAATTGCCTTGTACTTATTCTTTTTTCCCTTTTATCTGTAAATTCACTCCTCTAGATCACATTTAATTTCCTTACTCACAGATTAAATGGCCCAAATGTATGTTTTTTTTAAATAATGAACATTTAACATTAATTTCTTACTCTTTTCAATGTTCTCATTTTATTGCTTTCCTTTCCCCTTCAATAAGTTCAATTGGCTATTTCCTTTTTTTCCTCAAACGGATTTCCTTCTTTGCTCAAAGTGTCTGCGTGTCTCCCTCCAAATTCATTGCCTGAGTCAGAAATAGTGAACAAAAGCAACTTATTTTAAAATGTCTAAGCTGTTTGCCTTTGTAGTTGTGATTTGACAAAGCATATAATTTCCTGTTGGATTTTGTGTCTGGTCCTATTAAGGCATTCACCAAAAGTAGATGTATTTACAGAGACCAGGAAATCTTTCCAAGAGGCACAGGTCAGAAACAGGCTAGAGAATTCAGGTTTCTGAACTCATAAAGATGACTTTTGGTGCATTAGAATGACTGGAGAGAGATCATTTGGACCCCACTTCATCCAACAGAAGACCACACACCAAAAATATGATGAAACTAAAGAGCAGTTTTATTGAAGACCAACAGAAAACACATTCAGATTAGCAAGTATTTAGAAAATTGATTCAACATCAGAGGTATATAAAACTAGAATGTAATAGAAATAAAATGACCTAACAAATTCTAGCAACCTTTGCAACAAAATCAAGCAACTGTTTAAAAATCATACATCATTTTCACATTATCACAAACAGCTCAAACCTCTTTACAGACCTTGCGGTAAGGTATTAAATGTGTGAGGGAGCGCGACACCCAATTCTGCTCTTTCGGATCCTATCCTAAAAACCTCCTTTTCTGGTCTGAGGTCACGGATGTGATCAAACAATCCACCGGCCTTCTATTAAAACCTGAACCCTTGACCTGTTTGTTAGGATTTTCAGTTGACAATACTAATGATCCAAATGTAAGATGACTGATTGACTTACTGCTACATGCAATAAGTATATTTTAATGAAATGGGATTGTAATATCCTGCAACTATATTCTAATAAACCCAGATGGATTTAACCCCTTCATCAGCACAACCTACAAAATACACCATTGCTATGTTTTAGGGCAAACTCCATGAAGCACTTTGAGTTATCCTCTCGACATTAAAAGTGCCACATCAAATGCAAGTCACAACAAATTAATGCATTGACCTTAATGATCGCACAAGACTGGAACACTTAAAAATAATGAACATAGCCAAGAAAAAACAGGGATGAATTTGTTTTGTTTGAACGGGACAGGTTTTTGTCAGCATGCTTGTTCACATTTTACATGTAAATAAATAATCCTTGCATTTGGTATAGCATCTTTCATATCAGGACATCCCAAAATGCTTCACAGGATATGCTGTAAAGTGTAGTGACTGTGTATTTGTAGGCACACCCGACAGCTAAGTGCATACAGCAATGTCCCACAAACAGCCATGAAATGAATGACTGATTTGGTTTGGGGGATTGTTTGGTGGAACACTGGGAGAAACTTCCTTCTTAGAATAGTGCCATGGGATCTTTAGTGTCCACTTGAACACGCAGAGAGGACTTCGATTTAATGTCTCATCTGAGACTCATTTCATGTGGCACAAAATAAAAATTTTGTCTAAATTTTATTTTTCCCTCTCACGGGTGCCACAATACTATTGTGTTTGTGTGGAGATTCACGCATTAAGCTAGTTAGATTCATCACGTTAACGATCCTTTCCAACAGCCGGTCAGGCATGTCTTCACCCAGGTCTTAACTATATGCTAATGCCTATCTCAGGGGTAGCGCTTGTTCTTCTTGTGAGAAAATAGCATTTTTATCAGACTCAACAAACTTCCATTTGACTCGCCTGATCTTCAGGCTTTCACTTACAAAGCTATTCACAGACTAGCTAGTAAGAGGTAACATTAGAGCGGGAACAACATTTTATCTTTCCTAAAGATGAAGCTCATGGTGCACCATCCAGCAGCACTGGAAACAACTTA